TACAGACAGAAGTTTCTGCTCTTGTTCAGATATTTATAACTAATCTCTCTTGCCTGTTTTCTCTGATGTATAAGAATTGAATTCATCACRTTGTATTGTCTCCCAGAGCTTTTGTACTGATAAGGTCTCAGGCTCTCTTCCTGATCTCTTTTATTATGAAATTTGTAGTAAATGATTATCGCCAAGGCTCATCAAATTTGTTTGCAATTTACTCCAGTTACAAAAACCATTAGGAGGAGACCGACAGGCTCACAGTCACACAAACTTATATATTGACTCATACATACTGAACAAGATGTTCTTCATTTGCTTAGAAAGCCAGGCTAAATAAAGCACACACAACTCWCTGGTTCTGTAGGGCTCTTTGAATGATCAGGGTGATCCTATGAACATATTTCAGGTAGACTTTCACAGGGCCTTCGATGAGACTACAATAAAGAGCCTAAGGAATAAACATGAAATGAAAGGCTAAGGCTCATATGGATAAAAATCTSTCCATAGGATACATATATAAGTTTATATTAGCAATCTATAGGATCGAGAGGAAGAAAGCTTCATTGTGAGAATAGCAGTAGTGAACATGGTGTTGAATAGTCACGTTTTGTTCAAAAACTGTCTCTGTAAGGAATTGAGCACTGGGATAATAAATCTACATATGAAACAAAATTATTTTGATTAATCAGGATGAGAATGAGCTATGAAGAGCTTCAAAAAGCTATAACCAATCAAGACAATGGGCAGCTTGACAAGCAGATGAAATGTGATTTTAACAAATGCAAACCAGAGTGCATGAGAATGAGAAATGCAAATCTTTCTTTAATGCTAGATGAACTGATTTATCCTGTCCTCAGTTCAGCATCAGCCTCAGTCAAAAACAAACAAATGAGCTGGAGTATCACATCAGAAACAGTCTACAAGACAATATACCTGGAGTGCTCAATGGTCTTTTGATTACCTCATTTTTAAAAGATATTTCAAAATAGCAGGAATTCAAGAGGAGTGAAAATACTGAAGGTGTAGGGGAAAACCTCATATCAAAAGAGGATGAAAAGGCTGGGATTATTTGCTTTAGAGAGAAGGCAAATAAGAGAGAACAAGAGGAAAACCTGCAAAGTAACGAAAGGGAGACAAGGCAGAGCAGACACATGTTTCATAACACCAGAACAGGGGGGACGTACAATTCAGCTCAAAGGCAGAAAAAAGAAAAGTTTTATGTATTTTTCCATATAAGATGCTATATATTCTGTGATAAGAACATATTGAGCATAAGTTTAGCATGTAAAGTTCATCACATATARTCAGCTATCCAAATTTTTGGCTATAAATATTCAAAAATTACATTCTGTTTTTTAGGCTTAAGTCAGTTTCTACRAATTAGAAATCAGCAGATGACTCATGTAAGGGGGCAGACTATGCCATAAAGATGCTAGCTGCAGTTTGCTTAACTCAGTCTCTAAAGCAACATGGTCTTGCCATTTCCCAAGATAAATTATTGTATAGGATGACCAGAGGGTTAATTCAGTATATATTTATTTTATTTCTGTTTCTGTTTAATCTAATCGAATATGCAGCTTGTAATGCACAATTACAATTATTTTACTGTTTTGTTATACTACATTATAACTTAAATCAGAGTTCAGCTCACAGTGAATTTTAAAATGAATAAGAAATCAAGGTAGATATAAATGCAATTCGAAGTACATGAACAACCACTTTATTTAGCTAGCAAAAATCTAACGGATGCCTGAGCAAGCTTCCCAGAGGAACAAACAAGCAATTAAAAAGTCAAAATCACAAAAATGTCAGTGGTTATTTTGGSTCTCTTTCCTATTAGGAGCACTCATTAAATAAACATGAGTCTTCTTTTTACATTTTTGTGCTTTTGCTTTTTCCTTGAATGCTTATTGTTCCTTTGGGTTTTTTTTTTTTTTAAAAACTTTTGTCTAATATTGCATTCTTCTACATTTTATATTATTGCCTGAATATAGGGAATATAAAGTGTAAACTTGTTTTACCAGATATCAGAATTAAAGCTGTGTGAAAAAGGTTCCACTCCAGAGAAGCTTATAAAAATGAGCTAATTGTGAGTTTTTTGGAACACAGAATATTTTTAGACTGAAGTAATATATTAAGAGAAACAATGTCATRTCAATATCATCAAGAATTCTTAAAGTAGTAGAATGCCTATATCGTAATTTCACTAAGTTCCTGATGTTGGTCTTTGTCAGTCTGACTCTTMAGTCTGGTAGTGTACTAAGTTCTTGATTGTAGACTTGATTCACTAAGTAATAGGAAATATAACCTCAAAATGTTTTTCTGCAAGTGACATTATCTCATAAGATATCACAGAAACAGATGATACAGTGGAAAAATACTATAGTTTTCTATTTTTATGATATAAAATGTAATCAGAATATTCCTAACATCAAAATGGAATGAAAGAATATAATTCTTTACATTCCTTGGAAAAGTAAGCAATATTAAATTCCATAGTTCCAT